TATATATATATATATATATATTCAAGTGAGTTAAAATGGAGCATACTGCTTAGAAAGGCAAGTCTGAACAGGAAACAAAGTATAGGCACAGGTGATATTAAGTAATATAGTTTTGCCTATTCTTGATATTTACATAGGTAGTCATCAGGTTGTTTTTTTTTTTCCTCTGAGTAAGTTATTAATAAGTCTTAGCAGTAAAGAAATGTCTCTTTTTCCTCTCCAGAGAATACATATTACAAGAAGGTTTTTTTTTTTAACTTTTCCCACTATTCTTATGGTTTCCCAGCTCAGCATGTTTTGAATCGTTTCAGAGAAAATTTCCATATCTATCTCAAAAGACAAGATCAGATCTGCACGTTTCACCAAATGATGTCATTTCATTCTGTAAAGAGATAGGTCTTAAAAGCAGAATACCAAACACATACAACTAAAACCAGATTAAAAGCATGGTGCAACATACCTATTATAATTTAGATAACACTAAATGAATTGCCTGCTAGAAAGGTAGACTAAATCAGCTACAAACCCCACTACAAAACCCTCCATGTTAACCATTAATCACAGTAAAACTTTTCAGACCAGAGAAAAAGGTGAGTGTAGAGCCTGTTCCCTTCCTTACTTCCGCAGCTAACACTGCCAGCTAATTAAAGCACTCCGCTCGCCAACATTAAATGCACAGTCATGGCAGAAGCCAACTCAATGTCTCTACCCTTCACTCAGTGACAGAGAGATACAAAATCCCATGCGCTTCCTTCAAATATTTTGGGAGTACTGTGTAAGACCTAGATGTTTAACATGTTCTCAGTAATAGCAGCCTTAAGGAATTCAGCTTATTTTAGTCCTACTAAGCTTAACACTAATGTTCCATAGTCACTGCAGTGAACTTTAGAGAAGATCCAGTTACTTCTCAGCAAACAATTTATGTCTTACCATGCTGCTACTAAGATACACCTACACAAAAGACTTTAAAGCTCTAGTCTTATTGCTACACATCAAGCTAATCTACTCATCAATTAGCTAATACTTCATCATGTGGATTTTCCAATTTATTTAATGAGCAGTGAGCTACACTTACCACAAAACAGTTTAGCCTTTCTTTAGTAAGGCAGCTGTACTAGTTTAAAACTTAAGCTAAAGCATCTCAGATATCACAGAAAATATATGAATAAACTTTTATTTTTAAGCAACAACACACGCTATTTTAATACAACCCACACATTTAAGTCAGGTGGAGAGTAGTAAACTGAACAATCATTGCTAAAACATTTCCATTGGAAATGTGTTAAAGTTTACAAGTGTCTTCATTACCACCTTACTGAAGTTTTCTTATGTGTTTCTAGTCTACACACCACATGTTTCATGCAGTCATGCAAATCTGAATCAAATTTTAAATGTTCAGGTAACAGGGAAGTCCATTCACTGCAAAGATTCATTTTTCGCAGACGAGCCAGGCTAGGTAAGACCAAATATTGCAGGGTTCTTCACGACAGTACAGGTATTTTAGAAACCATGAACTTTCAGTTGTTCTTCCTTGACAATGCCAATCTAAAGGAGAAAAGCAAGATATTTCAGTTAAGCTTACATGCTTAAGATATTACAGTGATATCAAGTTACCACAATCTTATACTTTGATTAAAGAAACTGCAATACAGTATATAGTCAATAGTTTTCTAGTTTCCAGAATGTTTCTGGACCAAACAGAAGAACTGACTACACAAAAAAGAAAATCTTACAAACATCTGACTTGTTCTGTAGTCCTACCACTTATTCTTTTGACAATGTAACAACTCTGCATCATGATTTGCATCAGTAAGCTAGCAGTGAAAGATTCTCATTCTGCAAGTGTCATTTTACTTTTTGGATGAAAATACAAAGTGGACTATAGTGGACACCTTTAGCTGGTTACGTAACATCAGTGTCACCTGTCCCTCTTGCTTCCAGAGAGGTTTAGATATTTATCCACAGTCTCTCACCTCCAAGAGGAATTGGCAAATGTTCTTTCTCTGGTCACCTTGAAGCTGGATAACTTCGCCGTACTCAGGATGCTCAATCACAGTGCCATTACAGGCAAATTTCTAGAGAGAACCATTAATATTGTAAGACATCTGACATACATTATGATTTTGCTTAGCAAGTTTTTCAGCAGAATTTTGCCACAGAAGCTGCTTACTAAATTTTGATGCCAAACAAGAAAAAGGCTAGATCTATTTTACACTGGTTTGAGAGCAATGGAATACACCTGGTGATGCACACGGACACAAACTAAGCTGCTGATGTTAAATTCAGGCAAAGACAGGATTAGCTGCTGTGCGGAAGGAACTCGCCAACACTCATCACAAGAATGGAAAACAAAGTCATAAGATACAGCCTTTCAACTCCATGTTATTTTAAAATAAATATTTTCATCCTGGCAAAACTCAAGATCTCTATTTTCAACAGCAACCCAGCTGTGACAGAAAGAGGAATACAAAAACAGTTCTACTTTGAACTGATTTTATTCTTCGCATCAACAAAGCCAGACACCTGTGAATTTTTAATGAAACATTCAGAATATATTTTATTTACATCTTCATAGGAAACAAATGTTTAACTTTTTAGCAAAAAAATCAGTGTGACTAGACACTGATAGGAGTTTTGAGAAAGACAAGGAAAGGGATCAGCTTGAATATAAAAGTGATGTACACTGGCAAGAATGAAATAAAACAAATATTCTGTTACTTAGTATTAAAAGCTATCATACTGTTTTATCTAATATCTTTATTATCAAATCAAATCAGCAGCTTCACCTTTTTGAAAGCTTTCACAAGTTTCTTCTTGTCATAATCATCTGCAATTCCCTGAACAGTTGTTAGTGTCTTTCTTCCGTTTCGTTGCTGGATCCTTATGTGAATGTAATCCTCGGTCCCTGCTGGGAGTAAGTCGTCACCCTTTGTTGCATCAGCAAAGGGATCTGCAGGAGGAAGAAGATTCATGTAATTCCCACAAAGGAAAACACCCAAGCTCAAAAACGTAACAGCTAAGTTTCTCACTTCACAAAGAGCTTTATTTAGGGGATCATCTTGCCATTTTCTCCCTGTTTAAAAGTACACTGTTAAAATCAGAGTATGTTTTTCTACAGCTGTCTCTGGGGATTGGACTAGATGACCTCTGAAGGTCCCTTCCAACTCAATACATTCTATGATTCTACTAACTCAGCATAGTGCTCTCAACTATCACACATCCAGTTTCTTCAACGCCTTCCTGGATATAAACAATTTTCAGCTACAATATCAATTTTCTTCACTATTTCTTGCAAACTGTAAATCCTGAAGCTCTGAACCTGAAAACAGGGTTCAGAGAGAACACTGAGTGCAGCTAAATTTTAGACAACCCACATGCATTTTACATGAAATATGGAAGTAATATCTTTTATTAGATCAACTGATAAGTAAAGAAAAATCAAAAAGATCTGGTACACACACTCCTTTGCAGGTCCAGAACAGAAGTCTTATACCATGACAACTAGCACACTACCAGCATTTTAAAGCATGGATGTAATTCTTGGCTACTAATGTAAACAAAACACAGCAACAGACACTTGACAGATGTCAGAGCCTGGCTGTAAACCACCCCTCTGCCACTCAGTAGTTTTAGGCAAAAACTGTAACAAAATTCATTTAGGCTTTGACTATAGAAAGGTCAGTTCTTAAATTCTTCCAATTGTAAATTTAGCTGGCAGAGGTGAAATAGGAAAGCATTGAGGAAGAAGGTGGTTTCCGGTTTAACATCTCTGTTCTACACAAAAACATATCTAACACTCACTCTATCAAGAAATCTGATAGCCATACAAGTTTCCTAATCACTAACTCCAAATAAACCTTCAAGCACAAAACACTTCATTTTTTTTTTTTTTTTTTAAACAAATCACAAGTAACTTTTGGATACTGATCAGAATCACATTGAGAAGTCCCATGTTCAGAAAGTGTAGGTTCAACAGCCATGCAAGCTACAATTTCCCAAACTTCCATTCAAAACTCAAACCTAAAAACACTGATCAGGTTTTGTCATCCACTCAAAACAAATGTCCCAAAAGAGTAAAACCTCAGCAGAGACAGGGACAGAGTAAGTTCAGGTGGAGACAGACTGATGCTTGTAGAAACAACAACAACAAAAGCATTAAAGGCACTGAAAGCGTGAGGATGCAAGCACCACAGGAAGAAATACAGCACTGGGAAGCTTGATTGGCTTAATTTCTACTAAGACATTTGTTAAAACATGCTGAATTTCACTGTGCCCCCACAGCTTGCAGAGAAACGCTGACAGAAAATTTCAGTGAAAGAAAAAGGGAACTCGGGCATGAAGATCACTTGGCAGAGTTTAGGATTCTAGGTTGGAGATAAGCCAGCGCTGGTGTTAACGTTATTTTAAACAAATCCTTTGGGCAGCACCTTCCTAAGCACAAGATCAGCTCCCAAATCGTGATTAACATAACCTTCTCATATGGCTTATACATGCAGAAGATGAGAGACAAAGCTGAGACCAAAAGCCTGACAACATTTCATCATATGAAGCGTTAACTTGGTCACTTCTGTTGCCCATTTAGATAAGGAAGGCAGAGAACCATGGCCCAGCAGGCTGAACTTCCTTGCTAATACAACAGGAATGACCTACCATCCCTACAGCTCAACCTATAGACACAATACCCTTTGCAGGGTGTTGGACATCAGGTTTTGGGACATCGGTAAGGATAAGATGAGGCAGCTTCGCCCCAAATCAACAAGCAAATGGAACTGAGGTAGCGAGGTGACGACTCCCTTCCTTAGCCGAACACCAACCCCAGGCTGCCCACAAAGATAGCAACTTTGGGGCCGCAGAGTTGACAGAAAAGCCCAGTTTGGGCTCCCACTAGACATTCCGGCAAACAGAGCAGTACGGGGTGTCAGCGCCCGGAACACGG